AGGTTTGGGAGGGTGGGGCGGGGGCGGGGCTGCGGCTCAGCCTCGTTGTGAACTCGGGCCCGCTGCGCGCCGGCGGGAAGCTGCGGGGAAGGTAGGGGAGAGCGGGGGGCGCTCCGAGCGGGGCCGCCTCGGGGTCGCCTCCCGGGCAGCACGGTGACGCCCCGGGACATGGGGCTGTAGAGGCGAGAGGGCGCGGGCCGGGCCGGGGCAGGAGAAGCGCGAAAAATCAGCGGGGCGCGGGCGGGGGTTGGAATCGCAGAGCCCTGGGAAGCGAGGGTGGACGGGCCCGTCTAGTCCAACCCCTGCTCAGAGCAGTGCCAGCCCCGACTAGATCATCCCAGCCAGAGCTTTGTCTACCCGGGTCTTAAACATCTCCAAGGATGGAGCCTACCACCTCCCTGGGTAGCCTGCCCCAGGGTCTTACTCCTCTCCCAGCGAGAGCAGTTTGCTGGTGCTCTCTTACACAAAGACCCTTTTGCCGGGAGACCAGGGAAACTGGTGGCTTCAGCAGGGCCCGTTTGTCTTGTTCAGAGGGCTTTGCAGACTTCCAGGGAGCCCTTGGGAGGCAAGATGGATTGAAGGGCTTGGGGTGGGGGCAGCAGGGGACCCTGAAAGGAAACTATTTCCTCTGCATGAAGTGTCCCAGGTTTCACCTCTGCACTATTCCTCATGTCTTGAAGGTCTTGCATTGGAAAGCTTGTCTGATGCTTTCCCATCTATGTGGGCGGGCCAGTAAAAGAGGTCGCCCTGAGAAACCCATGCCTCTTGCCTCATTAGTGGGATTTGAAAGAGAAGGTTGTGATGCAGCTGTGGCATTCGATAGGGCATCTCTGTTGAAATGGGTGGCTTTCCGGTGCTTTTCTTAGACCTGAGTTTGGGAGATGAGAGTTGCCACATTGGATCAGACCTGAGATCCATGTAGTCCAGGATCCTGTCTCTGACACTTGGCAGGAGCAGATGCATGAGGCTAGGGGGAGGACAAGGATAACACAGGAGGGAGATGGGGATAATCTCTGTCTTGCTTCACTTGAGGTGTCACCATGACCTCAGCATGAGAGCATGTATTTGTTAATGTGTTAACTGTTAGAGCTCTGAATAATCTTACTGACTATAGAAATATCCAGTCGCTTCTTGAATTCTGAATTTACATCAGGATCTCCAGGTTCGCCCATGAGGCTGAGCTAAGAAGGGGCTCTGTGAAGGCAACCTGGGATGGGGGAACTGGATGGCAGGAAGGTGCAGCACCTCTTCAGGGCCGTTGCATGTCTCAGTTTCCTCTGAAGTTCAGCAGAACCCCTTGTGGGCAGGCAGCCTGGGTAGCCCATGCTAGAGCCTGGGGAGGAGGAAACTGAGCTCTGCTCTCCTGCTTTTGTCCTGGTGCTGTGCTGTTGGGAATGTTTACTATGGGCGTGGTGTGGGGTTTTCATGAAAACAGTGAAGACCTGACAAAGGAATTGCATTGGACTCAGCAGTTACCATGACATCGGAGAACCAAAAGGTTGCAGCAAGCTACAGCATATTCATATTGTGTTACTGGGCTCACTGCTGACCTGGAAGAGGGGGGTTGGCTTGTGACTCTCTGAAGCATGTCTTGTTGCAGAGCGATACCTGGGCTGGTGCTGTCAGAGAAGGTGTTTAGAGCCCTCAAGCTTAATGGGGGTGGTTGGTCAGGAGTTGTTCTGGCAGAGTCTGTGAGGACTGGTTTCAATGCACATCACAAGGTGTGTCTGTCTGGGCCTGGGCTCAGGCTTTGGTGACATTACAGCTGATGTGTTGATTGGAAGGGTGGTGCTGCCACTGAAGCTAATTAAAGCTTTTATATGCATGTTCATAAAAAAAAAATGGTGTCCCTTGAGCCCACAGCAAAAAGGTAGGGACCTTCTTTTATGTGTAAAACAAAATAAATGTGTGTAGGTGAAACATAACTTGGAGGAGTTGTGTACATGTGTGAAGACAAAGAAATAAAGCGAGGACCTCAGAATGGTGACCTGTGTTAGGTCTTTTGATTGCTGGCTAGTAGGAGCATAGTTGGGGAAGGATGGAGAAAGGGCTTCTGTGGTTTTGTTGCTCATCTTCCAGCATCTTTAAATGTGAGTCAAGGGTTCACAGATCTGGATGGGCATTTTATTTTGTGGAGTTTTACTTATAGGTATGCGATACTCATGGGAGGTGAATGAGAAGGGGAAAGCAGGGACAGCTGAGAAACTGGTGGAGAAGTAACAGGGCAGGTGGCTATTCATGCCAGACAACAACAAAACAGCTCCCTCAAGGGGGAGGCACTGTTCTGAGGGACCCTGTCCTTGGTTCTGGCTGCTTCAGGCTTTAGGCGGGATTGAATCCGTTGCCCTCCAGGGCCCTGCACCTATGGCTTCTCAGTCATGCCAAGCCTAAAGAATCAGGCACAAAAGGGAAACTGCCAGCATGTCAGGAGCAGTGAATGGCTGGGGAGTTCAACCAGCACTTGTACAGGGCATGCTGACCCTCTTCTACTGCAGGTCTGCAAGGACCCTAGAGCAGGGGTTGGCAACATTTTTTCGGGCACAGTGCCAAAAGCACCCACAACGTTGACTTGTAGGGTGTTGGCATGCCAAGTGTATGCCAACACCCTACAATGGATGGCAGTGTAGCCCTGGCCCCTTCCCTGCTGTCTGCCCCAAGGTGCGCATGCCAAGCAAAATGCCATTGTGTGCCACAAGGGCACCTGTGCTGGGGGTTGCCTGCCCTAGAGCTTTTTGCCCTGGGCCATAATGGTGCCACTTGTACAGAATCTCCTTGATGCTGGTCACGAACCCAGTGACTTGGGTCTGTGCCCACATGAGGTGTTCCTGGAACCAAGTTCTGGTTCTGTCCATGGTGAGGGCTGAGGGACCCCAGCATGTTTCTGTGCTGTGCTTGGTAGACTTAAAACTTCCTCCCTAAGCTCTTCAGGACCCTGGTTTGCAAGTTAATGGTGAACAGGAAGGCGAGTCAGACATGGAGGATTCAATTCAAAGGCCTGTTGCTGGGCAGAGGGGATGGCAGCATTTAGGACTAGCTCCCTCCATCCTCAGGAGATGGTGTGAGTTGAGGATCCTCAGCATTTAGAGCTTGCTTGGAACCAGCTGCTGACAGTTGTGTACAGTGTCCCAGGTTTATCAGTCTTCACATCAGAACTTCAAACTATACTGCAGCTGGGGATACTTTAAACAGACTGAGTCACAGCAAATGCTGGCTGAGGTTGCCATAGAAATTGATTCTGTTGTTGCTAGGAGCGTGGAGCTGGTTGTCATTTGGCAGTGGCTGCTGCATGGTTCCAGCGTTAACTCATGAGCCAGAGGAGCACCAGGTCTCGCTCCCTGTCGCCACCGAGACCAGGGGGAGGTCAGGCAACTCCTCCTGTTCTTGGAAGGGGACAGGAAATAGTTTTGCTCTGGTCTCTGACAGGCTGCAGCTCCATCAGACCCTGCATATTTTCTGGTCTGCTGTGAAGATCCTCTGCCCATATATGTCTTGCTTGCTCTGATGGTGGGAATCTGACTTGCCATGCAGTAGCTCCCAGCCATCTGGGAGCCAAGGGAGAGTTGGACTGTCTCAGTCTGCTGAGGAGGAGACGGGGGAGTGTCAGAGCCTTTAACCCTTGATGCTTCAGAGCATGGGGACAAACCCTCAGAGCATCAACTGATGCTCGCCTATCCTCCCTGCCCAGCCCCCACCTTTTTCATCCCCTACTTTTGGTGTGATCATGAGCATGTGGACCAGACCCTAGAATCAGCTGGCTCACCCTGATTGCTGTCAGCCTTGTTACCCATGTCCTAGTCATTGGTTGTTGTTATCTTTGGTCTGTCAGAGAGCCCCATGGGTCCTTCCCCCCCCTTGAGGGAATTCCCCCCACAGTGTAGAGTAACCTCAGTTTCCTCTGTTGGTTGTCAGGCAAGCGCGTGCACCCTGCTGCTGTTTTGTACCCCCTACAATCCTCTCCTGAGTACTTACAAACAAGAGGCTGCACCTAGATCCTTATCTGTCGCTGGAGGGCTGAATATGAGTTCTTCTCAGCAGCACCTCCTTAAAAAAGGAGAGTTTAAGGAGTGCTGCAGCCTCCCACCTTATTTGTTGACTTGCGTCATTGTTAGCCCTGGCTTCTTAGGTTGTGGACACATGTAACAGTTGAATTATTCCAAAATGTTACCAACTGGAAACAGGTTCACAGTTATGTGAAGTGCTTTGGCTCTGACACTGGGGGAGGCGGAAGTGAACACCCAGTTCAGCATGCTTTGTGGTGGGTGAGTTGGGGGAAGGGGTGCTTGCCACATGGTTTAGAGGTTCCAGGGGGTGGCTGACCTGTGGCTGGGGGCATTTTCACTTTTCTGCTTTGTCTTCTCTCCTAAGCATGAGATCAGTAAACTTCAATAGCCTGCACATGACTGAAGTCTGTAGCGTTTGCCTGATGGCAGGGGAGGGGCATGTTTGAACCCACACTTCTTGTTTCCCAGGGGGCAGAAGAACTTTATGAAGGGCTGTGGCTGAGGTAGGGAGTGAGGATGCAGCTGGCTGTCAGAAAATAGCTTTTATTGAAAAAGCAAAGCAAGGAAGCTGACTGGTTTACACTACAAACAAAAGTGGGGGAGGGACAGTAGAGTTCTGGCTATACACCAGAGTAGGTGTGGGGGTGGGGGTGCGATGTGTGTCCATGCCCTTATACTTCTCTTTGGGAAGCAGCCTTTAGCATCTGAGTTCCCATCCCCCTTGTGCTGCTAACATTAGCCCTTCTCAACAGTCCAGATCTGCTCTTTGGCTGCAGCCACTGAGTCCATTGGCCCCATGGTAATCATCAGGTGATCAGTGGAGCATTTAAGTCTCCCCTAAGCAATGGTGCCTTCCTGGGCTCAGTTTGGGGGGTTGCACCCACATCCTGCCCCAGGTGGGAGCTGCAGCAGCAATGAATTCTCAGACATGCCAGGTGCCGTGCTGTGCTTGGGTCCCTCCCTGCCTGCTGCCCTATTTGTGGTGGGGAGAGAGGTCTTCCTGTGTGTGGTGCTAGACAGAACAGGAGGAGGGAGGAAGATGCCGGTCTGTCTCTACATTTTAGTCCAGCTAGTGAAACCTCACTGGAGAAGCTTCTAGCAGCTCCCATCTGGATTCTGATTTCACAGCACTGAAGTGCACTTGTGGGTTGCTCTGAGAGCTGTGCCCTGCCCTTCCTCCCTGCCAGAGCAGGGGGCATGATTCTCTGGAAAGCTTCCAGATCTATGCCCTGCTGTGCAAGCAGCTGGGCCTCCTACCAGCTCCACTGGGGGGAGGAAGGTTAATGGCTGGTACAGGGAGTGTCAGGCAGGGGCTGGCGTATCCTGTCCCCTTCCCTTGCATCTTGGTATCACTCCACTTCAGTCCAAGTGCTATAGAAGAAGAGTCAAGGCAGGGGCTCCGTGAAAAGGTTAGTTGGAGCTCCTATCCCCTTCCACAAGGAGGTGGAAGGGAAGGGTCTGCAGGGTCAGGCGTCCATGGCTTTAAGGAGAAGGGGTTTCTGACTGGGCTGTGTGGGAGGGAAGGGAAGATTTCTGGGTAGGGATTAAGGGTGTTGGACTTGGGGGAAGGAAAGGGAGTATCTGGGCAAATCAAAGGGAAGAGGGGGAAAGATTCTGTATAAGCTGTTGCAGGGAAACCATGTCATCTGTGTGTGTCTGACCTAGGTGTCTTTGCAGTCTTCTCTTAGGCTGTTCAAGCAAGCAGCTGAAGGTTGGGGGCCATGGCCACAGACCCACTCTCAGAGCTGCAGGAGGACCAGACGCTGGAGGACACCAACCAGTCCCTCAGTCAGCTCAAGCTGGCCTCCATAGACGATAGGACCTGGCCAGCTGATGAAGTGCCTGTTTTTCCCAGGTCAGGTGGGTGTCTTGCTTGTGCCAGTAGATACTTGAGTATGGAGATGGGTTGGAGACCAAGAGGTATCCCATGTCTGTACCAAGTCACTGGCACATCTTGTATTGTAGCCCACAGCAACAGAGAACAGGCCATAATTTGGCCCACTGGGAAGTAGAGAAGTGGGAGTCCTATGCTATTTTTGCAGTGCCTGGCTGAGTCAGCCTAAAGGTGAAGGCAGGCACCTGGGGTATGTGCAGAGGCTGCTTTGCTATGTTCTTTTGTGCAATGAGCAACTGTGATGGTGCCTTGGCTCCTTCTCTTTTATAAGTGTTGGGTGAATTTTTGTGCTTCTGAGAGTCCTGAGTAGAAGCAGATGTCAGGCTGTGGCCTTGAACCTGGGGTCTTGGCCTGTCTCAAATGGTCACTCATCCTCCTCTGTCACCTCCTCAGTAGCAGACTGGGGCAGATTCAGATGGCCAGAACCCTCCATCTGGGCCTAGCCACACACCCACTTCTTGCCACTAGAGTGGCCAGCTAGGGTCAACTGCCCCTTTGCCCCTTCTGATATAAACTCTTCACCCAGAAGAGGAAGTGTCCAGGTAACAAGGCTCAACCTTGTACCTAGGCTGCCACATCCTTTGGCTTGTGCTGCTACTGGCTCTTTGATAGATTCTCTGAATACCTGACATGGCTTGCCCATGAACCCCAAGTTTGGCCTGACCTTTGGCTTCCTGGCCTGACCGTGGTTTGATTTGCTGGAAACCTGACCTAGCCCCATAACCTCATGCTCTGCCAAATCCTCTGGGTCTTTGACTTGGTTCCCCGAACAGATCTCCTAGCTTTTGGTTTCCCTGAACTCGGACTCTGCACACTCCCCTCAGATCTTGGCTGCTTCTCCTGCCCTGGATGACCCCCAGACCTGGCTGCCCATGGCTTGGCGTGACGGCGAGTAGATGACTAGACGCCATTATATGCTCTGAGGTTTGGGATGTGCAGAGCTATTGTTCAAAGCCCAGATTGGCCAATGCTCACTTGTCCTGTAGCCGGATCTGCATTTCTGAAGCAGGGATCCAGGGAGGCCAGGCTAGTGCAGTATCCTCTGTTGTGTCACTATGCTACCTTCCTCTTTTCCTGCCCTTTCCCCACAACTTGCTTCAGGTCCCTTTCTGAGTTCATGCTAATTGCCAGTTTCCTGTGTTTTGTGCAGAGGACTCCGGAGGTTCGCCTGAGTCCGTCACTCACCTGAAGTGGGATGATCCGTACTATGACATTGCGAGGCACCACATTGTGGAAGTAGCAGGTAATGTTACGGCCTTCTTTTCTCCCAGCTCCCTATAGGGTTGCTTCTGCTGTGGGATCACAGGGCCTTGTTACTTGGAAAGTAATGAGGTTTGCCATATGCTGATGCCAGTGTAGGCGGCAGGGACTACTGGCAGCACAAGAACTGGTGGCTGAGTGAATTTGCAGTCAAAGCTTGTGGCTGCCTCCTTATGCAAGAGCAGGGAAAGGGTTAACAGTTGATGCCTGACATAATTGGACAGCAAAGTTCCTTCTTTTAGCGTGTTCACAAACACCCTTTTAACAGCATTGAACTCCTGGTTACTGTAGCTGGGACCACTGTGATAAACGCTTTGTGGGAATGCCTGGGGTGCTATGCTGAGGTTAGGAAATGAAGTGCAAGGGTTTCAGTTTGGAACTAGTTCTACCTTACTTGCTTCTGGGAGCTCTTTTGGCTGCCCACAATTTAATTCGCCCACTTCTCAGCTTATGTTATCAATGATAGCCCCCTTTTCCTCATGCCTCCACCCTTTATAGACTTTAGACTGTGCTTCACCTGTGGGGTCAAGATGGAAGAGAGCTGTAAGGTGGGTAGAGCTCTCTTGGCTGGAGAAAGAATGGGAACTAGTCTTTAATGGATCTGATGAGATGGGAGTTGCCTGGGTATTATCCACTACACTGAGTTGTTTTGGCCTTTTTCTCCTCTCTGGCTCTGTCACTTAGTTCTTTTGAGATCTGTGCTATTGCCAGAGCTCTAACCATCTACAGGCTGTTCTGTGGCCCAGGAGCTGTGACTGCTCAGTCTCTCAATCTTTTCGATGGTGTTTTGATTTGCCAGTGACTTGTGAGCTTGTTTCCAGGAGGGTTGAGTGCTGTCAATCCTAGAACTGGGGCTGATCTAGATCTCTACCCTGTTCCTTCTAATGCTAAGGTTGGGGACAAGGACATACTTGTGCTTTTTAATGCTTTAGTGTCAGTACCTGGGATATTTGCTAATGCAAATGAACGGGCTGGCCAGTGTTTCTGCATACCAGGACTGGAAAGGCTGAATGATACTGTCATCTGCTTCAGAGCCCCACAGGGCTTAGCAGAGTGCTTAGCTCAGTGATTGAGAAGAATGGAATAAAGAGTTTGAACCAGCAGTGATCTCCAGTGTTTCCATGGGACTTTTATGCAAAGGAACCCTGTGTTTTTCTACCCAGCATGTGAATAGGTACCAGTGTGTGAATGCAACCAGCTCTGGTCCAGCTGAACGTAACTGTTCAGACTAGAAGGTGAAGAATTCAAACTGAAGGGGCAGGTGCAATTAAGAGGCCCTTATGGTGGCATGGCAGCTGACTGGTAGGTGTGCCTGGGCTTGGGGTGGGCAGGGACTGGTGTGGACAGTTTATTTTCTGCCACCTGGACTAAACTTGTTTGGAGGCTGTAGATAACCAGGCGTGTGGATCTGTAACCTTTCATCAACAAATAGCATGTTTAGGAATTGTTGACAGCCCCCCACGCAGTGAAGTGCCTGCCGTAGGCAGGGGGGAGGTGGCAGCACAGCTGCAGTTTAGATGCTTGCTGACGTCTGTATCTTCTGGCACCAGGCCCTGTCAAGCCGATCAGATGGGTGGTTGGAGTTGCACTCCAGGCTCCGTGATGGGGCTGTTTATTCAACCTCCTAAGTGGGTATTATTAATAAAGTGACCTAAAACAACTTCAAAAAAATCAAACAAGCTGGAGCACAAAGTCGCAGGGTCACATTCCCATGGTCACTGTGGATTATGAGCTGTCTAGCAGCGCCTGAGTTCCATGACAGGGCCCACATGATGTGGCGGCAGCTTAGCACATCCTGGTCACCACTGCGTCTCCAAAATGCAGCAGAAACTACTACTTCACTAATTTCCTCTGGCTCTGCTCAGCCAGTCATACCCCTGCCTGCACATCAGGGCATAGGGCAAGCAGCTAATTCTATTCCTGTTTTCCCTGAAGCAGCATCTCGGGCCACTGATACTAATCTAAGACATTTTCAGCAGAAGCAGGAAGCTGAAGCCAGTTCCCATTTTCAGGCTGAGCTTGCTGCAATCCCTGCAGTCTCCTGTGAGATCAAAGCAGCATTGAGTTCTTGAAGCAGGGTTGCACAGCATTCTTACAGTACAGCTGGGTGTTCAAAAAGGAATTGTGTTTATAAAATTTGGGAGCAAACATTATCAAGCTGGTCTTAAATTGTGATCTGCCCTAGCAAGGCTTGTTGCATTTGCATTGGGGCCCATTCTGGGTCCTGGGCATCACAGTAGTCTTGATTCTGAACATGTCAACATTGCCCTCTCTGCTGCCCCAAGGGGCACTGCTTGGAAGCAAAGCCGTACCACTTGCTCCCACTTTGCATGTCCGAATCCTGGAAATGATGCGTGATAGTTGCCTTAGTGACACTGAGTGCATGCCAGTAAGTACTACTGAGGCAGGATGCTTCAGAGCAGGCCTGGGAGGAAGGATGGGAACTCTAATAGCTGATTAGAAAACAATTGGGTTTGCCTTGTTTTGGAGCGTGTGGTGTCCGCTGCCTTCCTTCCCCCCCGAAAAATATGACTTCTTGGTGAAACTGAAATACGGTGATTCAGAACTGTGCTTTGGGGCCTCGTGGGCATTGTATGTCAGGTAACTAATTGTCCTTCTCTGTAGGCCAGAGTGCATTTCCCACGATGCACCTCTGTCTGTATTTAGCGTAGAGAAGAGAAGACTGAGCGGGGATTTAATAACAGTCTTCAAATACCTAAAGGGTGATTTATGGAGAGGATGGAGATGGGCTTTTTTCTTTGTTGGTAGGGGACAGGACTAGGAGCAATGACAGGTGAAATTTAGGAGGAACCTTCTGATTATTGGAACAGGCTACCTAGAGAAGTTTTGGAGTCTCCATCCTTGGAAACTTTTAAAAGCAGGTTAGACAAACACTTGGCTGGGATGGCTTAGACAGTGATGGTCTTGCCTTGAGCAGGTGGGGTTGGACTAGATGACCTCATGAAGTCCCTTCCAGCCCTATGATCTCTCTAGTAAAGGGATGTCCTGCATCAGGCAGAGAGCCTCTCAGAGAACTGGCCTGAGGAAGGAAATAGGAGCATCAGGCATCTGAAATACAATTCCTAGATACCCCGTGGCAATATTTGCAATGGAACATTTTGGTTTAGTTAACTCTGATGCCTTCAGTGTTCTCAATGCACTGGTGAGAGTTTCCACAGAAAATGGAGAATTTTTGCCTACATAAAATGTAGAAGCAGTTGGACTACTGTGGACCAGCCCAAGGGCAGAATTACTTGGAGTCTCTCTATCTGGCTGTCTTCTTTCTGGGTTCTTCCTGGGGGCCTGAGGATTCCTGCTTTGTACTAATTACTTTCAGCTGCATGTGAAGATATGAGACACCAGAGGCTGTTCTCCTCTGCAGCGCTAACCATGTCTGCATCATATGTGCTACTGGAAACCAACCACCCCATAAAACATTTGGAAAAGAGCCCAAACTCATAAGAATTGCCCCAAACTCAGTGCTCCTGCTGGTTCTCCGGCCACCTCAGCAACTATTCAAAGGCCAGCCTGCCATTTCTAACGCCTTGGTGGCAAAGACAGACCTCAGGGTACTGTAATCCTGGCCCCATCGTCCTACTGAGAGTGAATTGTCAGCCATGTTTGGTGCCATTAGCAGCCACTAAGGAGCTGCTAATGTGCAATAGGTGCCAGGGAACTTTGGAATTCCTGGTCGGAGGGCACAAAGAGTTCTTGGAGCTGCTCCTAAGTGGTGTTTATTGTCCTCGTACTTCCAGGACTGCCTTCCTGAGTCCTGGTAATGGTGAAGAAGAAAATGGAGCAGCCTTTATCTCTTTAGCACTCATTTAACAAACTGACAGTCATGAGAGGCAGTATCATTC